ATGCCAAGAACAAAAATCCTACCCTGCAGAAAAAGGATCCTAAATAAAAAATATATAAAAACAAATCTTGTAACCCTCCTAAAGGCTCCCGGCGGAGTGGATGAAGACGTCCCTTCTGACAGACAAGGGGGTGACACAATGGGGTAAGGGAAGCTATTAATAAATTAGTGGCAAGTTATGCCCATAAATTAGTGGCAGGTTATGCCCACAAATTAGTGGCAAGTTACGTCCATAAATTAATGGCAGGTTATGTCCGTACAATTAGTGGCAGGGTATGTCCAGAAATTAGTGGCAGCCTGTGGGACAACCTTGTGGTGTGGACACTCTCGCAAGACACTGCTGCCCGAGTTGACTGATCCATCCGGGGTCGGCGTTATGTCTGTAGATTAGTGGTAGGTTATGCCCATAGATTAGTTGCTATGCCAATCAATTAGTGGCAGGTTATGTCGATAAAATCTTGGCAGGTTGTGTCCATAAAGTAGTGGCAGGTTATGTCCAAAAATTACTGGAAGGTAATGTCCATATATTAGTGGCAGGCTATGTCCGTAAATTAGTGGCAGGCTGTGTCCATAAATGAGCGGCGCTCCCGCTATGATTTTGTGACACTCTTCTGGGACACTTTTACACGACACTCGTACTGGAAATAACCGCTACATTTTGCATACCTGACTTTTAGGCAAGCTTGAAAATGCAAACCTAATAAGTAATATTATATTAAATTAAACAAGATCTATGTGTTTTGACAAGGAACATTTATGTTCTGGGAGCAACATCGATACTCATTGTTTTAAGACAACAAAAGATCACAAAAATGACAACAATGACAGCACATGACAAACAAATAACAAACAAGGACAAAATTGACAACCCTGAGGCTCGAAGTTAAGGCCTCGAAGTTAAGGTGTGATTCCATTTTGGTGATAAAAATGGAAAATGGATGGACCATACGTGGTTCATGCAATCATAATTTCCATGCTAAACAGGTCAAATCCATGCCCAGTTTCTCTCATCAGTTCATACAATTGACACAAATGACTCAGCTGCACACTGAGCTGGCCAACGTAATCACAACGTGTTAGCATCGTGAGCAGGTAAACGTTCAATCAACGTTTTACCATATTTTAGATTTTATCTTTTTGAACATATTTTGTCTTTTTTTAAATATTTTGTAAAAAAAATATGAAACCACATTTGTTTGCACAACGTTCTGGACAACAAATTAGTCTACCAAATTTCAGATTAGCCTACCTAAATTTCAGAAATGCCTATGTCATTTTCAAATCACCTAGGCATTTCTGAGATCAGGTAGGCATTTCTGAAAGTCATGAAGGGCAAACCCCTACAAACTAATACCTTACGATCTGGGATGCGTTCTTAAGTTTGTGAGCTATTATACAAGTTAACATATGCTATTAATGGAGGTCTCCGGAACCGTTCCGAACCGTTCTGGGGTCTATAGGCTTTGAATCCGAAACCGTTCCGGAACCGTTCTAAATAGTTCCAAATAGTTCTGAGGTTTTGGAAGTATCCGGAACCGTTCCGAACCGTTCTGGGGAAATCCCCGGAACCGTTCCGAACCGTTCTGCAAACCCCAAATAATGGCTTATATGTTAACTTACTTTTATACTTGTATATAACTTGATAAAACCAAATATACACACTTGTAGCTTATAGCTACTCTGTAAAATACAACTCATAATCCATAACTATCAAACTTCAATAAATTAATAAGGTTTAGGAACTGTTTTAAAATTGAAACACATTGTTTTAACATGTTAGAACTGTTAATTTACAACTTAGAGCTTCTAGCTATGACTTGACACTAAAAACTGTGTAACTTATAACTTTGTAACCTTTTCAACTTTGAACTTACAACTTATAACTAAAACTTAGAACCTTTAACTTGTAACATAATTTTGACTTTACTTCTCGATTTGACTTCAACTGTTTAACACTTTATAAGTATATTTTTGATGTTTGCTTTACTTTACTTGCTTTGTATTTATGAATTATATAAGACTGTTTGAGTTTTTAGATGAATTGTATGTTCTTGTTTGTTCGTGTATGTTTGAAAGTTTGGAAGTATATCGACGGGGTTTGTTTGTATAAAACGCAACAATAAAGTTTAAGCGTTGTATTCGGATAAAATGACATATTTATAATGATTGTAATCTGTTACTGCAACACTGCTACGGACCAATGCACAACAACGTAGCGACAGAAATGCAGTAACACATCTTTGATCTGCTACAAATACGTAGGATTCCGTTTGCAGTTGATAAATTTGTTTCACCATGTTTTACCTAAGTTTTACCGTGGTCTTCGCAGCACCGAAAACAATACTTAAAAACTGTGGATTTGCATTTGCAGTTCATCCATGCACATGAGCACACAGCCATACATACACTCATCAATGCACTAGTTAACCAATTTTACAGTATACAGGGTCACATCGTAATATTGTTTTTATGAGTTCTTTTTTCTAGTTGGAGCTTGCGCACATGCATTCTTTGGTGTTCTCCTTTTTGAAGAAATATGGGGGCCCGAATTACACAAATGTTGTATATTGTTGTATACTGTTTTCCTTTCCAACTTACGGACCAATATTTTCAAATACGAAATTTGTATGTAACATCTAACTTGATGTTGAAAGGTTTTTTGTCCAAGAACTTGGAGCAATGCGTTTCTCTTTCAAAGTGGTGGGTTTCTTCATTGGGTGACATTTTTAGTGGAAACACCCCTTATTTCCATGGATTGCTACATAGTTCTTTCCATAGTTCTTTCCCTGGACATATGAAATCAACAGGAATCCAAATTTAAGAGACTAAGGTTTGAAATAATATCTATCTATCTATCTATCCATCTATCGATCTATTGTTGTTGTAGTTGTAGTTGTAGTTGTTGTGGTTGGTGTTGGTGTTGTTGTTGTTGTTGCTGTTGTCGTCGAAGTTAGGGTAGTTAAGTTAGTGAAGTTAAGTTAGTCAAGTTAGTTAAGTTAATCAGTGTCTACTTTTTCGACATCTTCACGTCAAAAAAAGGCTCAAAACCCTCAGTTTTTTACACTTTTGACTTCGAAATGTGCTTCGCGCCACAACGGCGTGCATTTTTTTGACACTTTTTCGACATCTGAACCTCCAAAAGTGGTCCGAGACCGTCAGTTTTTAACACTTTTGACTTGGAAATGTGCTTCGCGCCACAACGGCGTGCACTTTTTCGACATCTCAACTTCCAAAAGTGGTCCGAAGCTGAGGTGTTTTGTACCTTTTGACTTGGAAATGTGCTTCGCGCCACAACGGCGTGCACTTTTTCGACATCGCAACTTCCAAAAGTGGTCCGACCCTGGTGTGTTTTGCACATTTTGACTTCAAAATGTGCTTCGCGCCACAACGGCGTGCACTTTTTCGACATCGCAACTTCCAAAAGTGGTCCGACCATGGTGTGTTTTGTACATTTTGACTTCAAAATGTGCTTCGCGCCACAACGGCGTGCAATTTTTCATCGCTCCTGTGGCCAGCTGGCTCCGCACCCGCCGCTTTAGCGAGCCTACTTTTCGACCCTCCAGAGCCACAAATCATTGGAAAAACACAGTGCTTCGCGACTTTCCTACCTTTTCGCGCATCTGCATCTTCTTTCTTCTTACTCTTTCTCTTCTGATCTTCTCTCTTCTAATCTTTCTCTTCTCTCTGCCTCTTCCCTGCTCTGCTTTTCATCTGTCCATATTGTCGGAAGTTTGACTTCTAAACTTCCTTCGATAATTATATATCCATGTGTATCCGATCTGAGAATCTGATTTTCTGATTGTTGACGCATACACAATGCAGCAGCACAACATTCACAACGCGAGAGGTGTTGCTTCAAAAACAGTGCCACGGAATTGGTCACAACATGTCCCAACTCAGAAGCTGAACAGTTTTTTGTGTGCCCCAATGAATGGCCTGGGCAATCCTGGGCAACAAAATATAGAACTTCCATGAAATTCCATGCAGTTCACACATGATCACACATGCCGATGCCCCAAGAATGCATTAGCGCCTCTGAAAAAAACCAAAGGACACTGAATGCGATGACTACACCACACAAGGGAAACTGTATTCAAAATACCTGCCAATGTATGAGCCAATATATTCACATATATGCATAAAAAGATAACTGTATGTATGCATGCATGCATGTATATTCTATAGGCCTTGGCCTTGGGTATGAGATTTGTGGATCTAAAGATATCTAAAGAAATTATCAGCAATCCAAGCAAAGACAAAGAAGACAAAATTAGACAAACACAAACCCAACAATACCTAACAATACCCAACAACCTCTGGTACGTAAGGAGAGTATGCAACAACATGTGCTTGAAACATCTTGAAACAGAGCGCACCACAGCGCATCAGAGTACTCTTGGTTCAGGTTTTCATGGCCACTCTCTGGGCCATCCACTAAACAGAATTTTCGTCTCGCTCCACTTCCCAAGGGGGATGCAATCCATCCAGCCCAGCCCTATACCGGTAGAACTAGTAAATGCCGACCATACCTGGTGAAGTTGTTGCATTATTCATTGTTCCTGGCCGCTGCCTTTTGGCCAGGTAATGTGGGGCTGGCAAACTTGTTTCACCGTTGAACTGGTGCTGGCTGTTTGGGTACGGTTGCAAGTGCCTCGTGACATGTTTTTTGCGTATGCATTTTTTCTATTCAAGTCACATATTAGTTCGACCTTAAGCACATTTACACTTGAAATGGCAAAACACCACAATATACCACAATACTGTAGCATTGTCTTTGCACCTTTATATACACGTCCTCTTGCCACAGTTTCACAGAGACATGAGGCAATCATAGACCTACCGGTTCCTAGGCATACATGCACGCACCCACAAAAACACTCCCATACAAAGCAAACAGAGAGACAAACAAACAAAGCCAACACAAACGCACGCACAGGAGAAAGGATTACAGTACTAACCTTTTACATCCTTTCAGGCTGTGAACATGCAAGTCCAAGAGTCCAAATTCTCGATATTCTGAATCTTGTTGTCGTAGAGATCTAAAAAGGCCAAGTGGGGCAACCCATCCAAATGTTCAATGCCTAAGTGTCAAAAGGTAAGGCTTGGAAACTTGCCTGCGCCTTCGAAATCAACTCTGACATTGACTTTGGCTTGAGGTTGGCATAGAACTTGCCAAACAGGAAAAGTTATCAGCGTCCTGTCGTGTCATGTGCTCTTCTCCTCAGCATTTTAGACTCTTACTTGGACCATTTTGAATCTATTCTTTCAACTCAGCCCTGGCTGCAAGGGTGCCAATAAGGAATAGAAATGCCAAGAGTGGCTGCAGCCAAGAAACGAGCAATGGAATTGTTCTGGTAGTTTCTCAGTGGCAAAAAGGGCCCAAATACGACAGGGACAAAGCAGCATGACCATTTCAACAACATTCAAAACAAACATTTTCATGATGATAGCATCGTACGGCAAAGAGCAACAAAAAAAAGACGAAACCAACACCCACACTAAACAAAAACAACGACACCGAAAACAATCACAAAGCCGGCCTACCGGTACCAACACCAGCAAACAGCAGCAACAGCAAAGACCCCAAAACTAACAGCACCACATAGCACCACGATACGGTATGGTTGTACTATGCCAGTGCCGACCAGAGACACTAAACGAAGCATACCTTCCTCCTCCAGGACAGGGCAACGGCCCAACCTGGGCAAAGGTTGCTCCTTGCCTTTGAAGTCTCTAGTCTTGGAGACTTTGTATGTCTTCTCATGTTGTGCGCACTATGTACGTTGACGTTAACACATTTTGATACTTTTTTTTTATTGGACAATGCCACATTCTAAATCAATCCACTCACAACCAAATCACACTGCTGGAGCGAGGAAACGCCTGAAACATAACAGAAAAGTATGAGGCGCTCAACTCGCAACTTCCAAGCGCGCGAAACACTGATGTGGACAGTGCTTCCCCCCAATAAAGCAAGCATTTTGGCTGAAATTATGCTATGTGGAGCCCCTTATCGGTTGCCAAGGCTTTCACACAAAAATGAACATCCCAAGTCCACTGCCTACTAGTTTGGTCTTTCGCTCATTTTGTCGTTTACTCATATGCCTTGCCACCTTTCCGGCAACTTTCCAATCCTTTTCGCAGCAGATCTGTTTTCTGTTTGTCATTTTGCCATGCGGCTGCCGTCGGTCCAGGTGCAAGTGCTCGGGAGAACGCTCGCGTGCTTTGCTGGATCTTCGCGCCACGAGCAACTTTGGCGTTCGAGGTCGCGCGACAATAGCCAACTCCTTAACTTAAAGGCAAGCAGCCTACATCACCCTACTAAAGAAAACCAAGGAAATGCCTGGGATGCAGATATGAATGCGAGATGATGGGATGATCCATATAATAATATATATATAGGCGTACATATATATATAATACTTTCTAAATGAGCAAAACATATCAAAACATAGTAAATCTAGTAAATCAACCTTTGTGAGAATTGCCCCAAGTGACGTGATGGATGAAGGACCAAACCATAAATCAGATGATAAAACTGGGTTGAATACAACACATGTCTTTAACGTACGAGTACTTGATCAACATCTATCGGCTGAAGTGTTCTGATGCCATCCCGCTTGTGTGCAATTGCATATTTCTGAAATGGGTAAGCAATATAATAATATATAAATAATATGTATGATTACATTATGTGTATATATATGTATATATGTATATGTATATATATATGTGTGTGTGTACGTGTCTCCCCGAATAAACTTCCAGTTGAACACTCAGAAGAGGGTTTTGTATGGTTACTTCATGTTGCTTCAAACCACCCTTCAACTGGTCCGAACGACAGAAATCATTCAGTGTCCGAGGATGTCCGAGGAGCAGATGTGTAGTCCAGGTTTTGCGCCCGACAGAGTTGGCACAAGCTTTCAAAAATGTCATCCTTTGCCGTGTCCGCTGTGGGTCTCCCCTCTCTGTCCTGCACGTCACGTAGCAAGCAATAGGACAATATGACAACATCACAAAGCATAATACAAAGCGGTGTATGGGAAACACCTTATATATGGAAGGAAAGTAAAACCAATGATGCCAAATACAATCCCATATATTCTGAGCTATTCGAGGCTTCAATATTTCATAATATTTCAGTGGATGGTGGGTTTTGGATGGTTTTGGATGGTTTTGGACTGTCAGTCTGCGTGATTTCAGTGCGGGTCATTTGATCTTCTGTCTGTTGCTTCTCCCCTTGCCTCACCGAAGGTTGCCGGCATGGACCAGCCCGACAACCACAATGCCTTGGCTGATCTTTGCCAGTCATTTTGACTGATCGTTTGAAGCTAAGCTACTATAATTCTATAAATATAATATGTATACATATAATAATTATATATATATATAATTATAATATATAAATATTATATACAATGATATATATATATACACAGTATATAATTAATTACATATAATTGTTTTTTTCAATATAATGTTGTATAATCATAAATTATCAAACAAAAATATATAATAATATATAATTACAAAAAAAACAACTATAACTACTCACGTTTCAGTCTAAAGCACATCAGTCATCGAGCCTGAGGACCCTTAAATCTATTAAACGCAAAAGAGGCCGAAAGAGTTCCCCCGAGGTGTTAATCTGAGGCTAAGGCAGAACCTTTGGGCCAAAGTGCTTGGAAGCGCCCATTGCAGAGTCAGTGCAAATGATCAAATAATTGTGTATAAAGTGTGTGTCTGAGAATACTGAAAAACAGCGGTTGTCAAGAACCATGGGAGACCGAAGTCTGCTTGGCCGTTTGACTTTTGGCATTTCTGTGCTGTTTGCATCCTGAACCTGAAAACACACACAAACGTGCATGTAAGTATGTGTGTATGTTAAAAAATATTGAATCAACAAATGCAATTTACACATAATTTCCACCATGCTCTCAGTGTCCATGGATGGCTACTTCGATTATGTTGGTTGCTCGAGCTGGAGCAAACTGCACATAACTGTGCGTGTAGAATTCATGCCCTCCAAAAGCTTGCATGCACGCTGGAACGATCTGGACAATGTGTAAAAATGTCTATCCTTTTTTGCTGGCACGAATATGTAGAAACTTCACGAAACTTCATGAAACTGATCAAAGAAACATAATGGAAACCAGGATGGAACAAGAACCAGCCTCTGCACCCATCCCAGCGGCGAGGTGCCCGAGAAAGTCCATTTCAGAATCCTTGTGCGCACAGAGAGATGGGCGACACATGGCGACACTCTCAACTCTACATGACTCTACCATACTCTACCCACAGGCGTGTGGAATTTGCATGAATTTGCATCATAGGCTCATCAGTCAGGTAAGACTTGAAGACTTCATATGAAGATATGTACACCTTGGTTGGCGGCGGCATGTATGGCCTGGATTTTCTGCATCAGGCAATAGTTCTGCATATTAAAAGTGATTTTCATATAACAAGTAATAAGATGTAATAAGTATTTATGTAATTTAAGTAATAACACATAATCATCACTTGCTCATGACATGTTAATGATATGATATTTTCAACAAATTGATACGAAAACCAGGATGGTGATGTGAAGTCTGCCGGGATGGGCTCAATGTCATTATAATGTGCTTCAAGGTTCAGGACAGAATACGAGGACCATGCGCAAGCACCAGGCGCTCCAGCTGATGCAACGATGCCAAACCTTGTGACTCCATTTGCAATGAAACATATCCGTTGTTGCTACGAGATTTTGCAAGGCTTTGGGAATTCCCAAAGAGTACAAAATTCCAAGCATTGTGTCGCTTCCATTTCTACTTGCTGCAAACTGCTGTAGTAAACAGCTTGAATCATTGCAAGAACATTCTAGTGTTGAATCTCTTGCAGTCTCCAGCATCTGAGTGCAACTCTTTCTATTGAGACATATTGAGGCTGCGACCCGCGATACAAACCGCGAAAACCTGGCAGCAGCGTCGTGGGTTACACAACGCCTCTCTGCAGCACTATATATAATAGTCAGATTTTCGACAGAGCCGTGGCAAACTGCAGTATCTCAAACATTTATCATGCGTTCCATCATATTCTATGTTGCAATTGCAGCTTTTGACTTTGACTATGACTAGGCCATATGGACCATATGATACCTATAGACTAAGACTATAGCCTATAGAGAATTATATATAGAGACCTAGAGCATCCATGAGCATCCTAGGGCAATAAAAACGTCTGAAGCCTGATACAAGCAGGAACATGGTATGAAACCGAATAGAACTCCAACCCTGTGAAGCGTTTCAAATGAAGCAAAACCCGAGCATGACCATATCATACTCAATCTCAAAAAATACATGACTTGAACTATCGAAGGACATCAAGCAAGAGCAAAACCACACCAAAGAGGTCCTAGAGAGTCTAGAAAGTGACATATTGCCAGACACGAACTGTCACCATTTCGAATACTCATGCCCACGATTGAACACAGCTAGCTGCTGGCCCTGAGTTTGGCCACCGGCGCCTTCTTCTGCCCAAGTGCATTGAAAGCCTCGACACAACCCTGGATTAATTACCCGGATGTATCCCAAAAACCTTGGAATGTCGAGATCTGAAAGTTGCTGATTTTGGTCATTGCCGCCGCATATTGCCACGAAGAAAGCGGAACTGCGCACTTGCTGAGTCAGTTGATTTCAGGCGTGGACCGACATTCGCGCGCTACACAATGCACAAACCATCATAAACCTATGACCGGAAAGTACGCACACTAATGAATGCACTACCTCACGTCTCACGTGCCAAAGCAAGTCACGTATTGTACAACACAGACATCCAAACATCCTGATAGTTAGACACGGCACACAAAACGCAAAACAAAAGAATCCGGCGCACATACCAGTGCAACTAAAATTTCACAGTTCATGCCGTTGTGAAGAAAGGCTAACAATGGAGCCTGTGATACCTGGGATTTCCATGAGCCACTGGTTGAATACCATGACGGACACGCTACTGGGGAATCTTGGCCTCTGACAATGCAATATACCTTTGTAGCCGCTGCCAGACGAACTTTGCAGTCTGGACTGGCGGGCGGAACCCATCATCCATCAATTTCACCTTCTTTCACCGCCGCTTCAAATGTCATGCTTGGAGATTGAGGGTGTGAAGATGTTGCATAGGCTAATAGGACATGCCCTCAACTCTTTGCACTCAAGACTTGGGCCTCGCCTTGATGGTGTCAAGAGGATGGCAAGGAATTCGGGCAAGAAAGCCGCTCCTGTGCTTCTCAAAACAAATTGATTCAATTTGATTCAAACATATTCAAACCCTGCTGATAGATTTCTTTCAATGACTTCAAAACCATCTGAGATCATCTGAGCATTTCGCAGCGCGCTTCCAAGCAAAGTATGTACCTGCCAGCTGTATCTCCATTCCTTTGTAATTAATGAATTGATGCACATTGGATCACATTGGTACATGGGACAAAACAAGGTGAAACTTCGATACACACTGCTACATCCATATATACGCCCCCAGAAATCTTGGGCGCACAAAGCGCGGCTTCTCCGCAGTTTCAACCATGCTTGGCACAGACCAACTAATTATGCCCTATGTTTTGGAAAGTATGAGCTCTTTACATCTCTTTACGAACTCATCATGTTCAGCACATTATGACTGCATATGACTGCATTATATCTGCGTGGTCAAAGATTCTGCACATCATCTGATGCCATCATTTGGATCCATTTGGTTCAAAATCATTCAAAATCTTAGTGCACGTAGCTGTAGCCTTTGCAACGGATTTGATGTTTGAGAGCTCGAACCCCTGTGTTCTGTGAGATCTGCTCGGTAACTGAATATGCATGAGCTCGGGTCAAGAAAATCCGCGAACAACATTTCATATATGTTCTTGATTGTTCTTGCATGCTTTGGCCAAATGTAGGCGCCATGCCATGGACCATAGCAGCGAACAAATTTCTTTTCGTGTAAAGGAGCATCAACGGTCACTAGCTGCCAAAGTGCCAGACGGCATGTGACTTCTGACTCCTTTTTTTGCCCGTGCATGGCATCAGTAAGCTTCTTGCCTGTGCCGATGGTAGCCGCGAAAGTCTGGAATGAGCCAATCATCATTGCCTAAGACGCCCCAAGCATGCATTGCCGCTCTTCATTCTGACTCGCCAACTTGCCAAGTTGATGGGGGGCTCTAAACTGGGAACTCCTTTTTTAAATTTCTTTAATGTTTGCACCCGATTAGTAAGATGGTACCCTATTGTGAGAAATTTATTGCTCCTAATTCAGTAACATGCTGTTTGTGGGGGGGGAACCTCTATTGTGAGATTTTTTCCAGATTTTTTTCCACTTTTTATATTTTTTCCAAATGCTTTATTGCTTATGTTTCTATTTATTAGTTTTTTTAATTTTATATATTTACATTTTATTTTGACTTAATTATTTGTTTTTATTTTTTTAATTTTTATTTACTATTGTCTATTGTTTCATTTTTTTCGTTGTTCCCTTTTTGATACTTTTTTCTTGCTTCCTTTTTCATTAATTAATTACACTATGAGTGGCTCAGTTACTCAATAATATAATTGTTTGGATGGTACTCTATTGTGAGCACCAATTTTTTGGAGTGAAAAAAAAAATATCCACCTTTCTTTGGGTAAAGCTGGCCTTTTTACTTTAGAAAACCATATTTGTGTTAAAACTTTAAAATGCAGGGTTTCCCAAATAATTAGATGCCTTCTTAAACCCTTATTTAAAAACAGCATCCAAACAATTTGTCAAGGGGGTACCTCATGAGTGGCTCAGTGACTCAATAATATAATTGTCTGGATGGTACTCTATTGTGAGCACCAATTTTTTGGAGTGAAAAAAAAAATATCCACCTTTCTTTGGGTAAAGCTGGCCTTTTTACTTTAGAAAACCATATTTGTGTTAAAACTTTAAAATGCAGGGTTTCCCAAATAATTAGATGCCTTATCAAACCCTTATTAAAAAACAGCATCTAGAAACTTGTTCAAGGGGGTACCTCATGATTGGCACAGTTGCTGAATAATATAATTGTTTGGATGGTACTCCATTGCGAGCACCAACTTTTTGGAGTGAAGAAAAAACCCTTTCTCCACCTTTCTTCGGGTAAATCTTGTCCTTCTACTTCAGAAAGCTATATTTGCGTTAAAGCTTTAAAATGCAAGGTTTCCCAAATAATTAGATGCCTTATTAAACCCTTATTAAAAAACAGCATCCAAACAATTTTTCGAGGGGGTACCTCATGAGTGGCCAGTTACTGAATAATATAATTGTCTGGATGGTACTCTAATGTGATCACCAACTTTTTGGAGTGAAAAAAAACAAGACCCTTTTTCCACCTTTCTTTGGATAAAGCTGGTCCCTTTACTTTAGAAAGCCATAGTTGTGTTAAAGCTTTAAAATGCAAGGTTTCCCGAATAATTAGATGCCTTATTAAACTTTTATTAAAAAACAGCATCCAGACAATTTTTCAAGGGGGTACCTCATGAGTGGCTCAGTTACTTAAAAATATAATTGTCTGGATGGTACTCTATTGTGAGCACCAACTTTTGGGAGTGGAAAAAAAAACAAAACCCTTTTTCCACCTTTCTTCGCGTAAAGCTGGCCCCTTTACTTTACAAAGCCATGTTTGTGTTAAAGCTTTAAAATGCAAGGTTTTCCAAGTAATTTTCATGCCTGAAAAAACCATGATTGGCTCAGTTAATCAAAATAAACTGTTTGGATGGTATTCTATTGTGAGCACCAACTTTTGGGAGTGAAAAAAAAACAAAACCCTTTTTCCACCTTTCTTTGGGTAAAGCTGGTCCCTTCACTTTACAAAGCCATGTTTGCGTTAAAGCTTTAAAATGCAAGGTTTTCCAAATAATTAGATGCCTTATCAAACCCTTATTCAAAAACAGCATCCAAACAATTTTTCAAGGTGGTACCTCATGAGTGGCCCAGTTACTGAATAATATAATTGTCTGGATGGTACTCTATTGTGAGCACCAACTTTTTGGAGTGAAAAAAAAAAACAAAACCTTTCTCCACTTTTCTTTGGGTAAAGCTGGTCCTTTTTGCTTTAGAAAGCCATATTTGTGTTAAAGTTTTAAAATGCAAGGTTTTCCAAATAATTAGATGCCTTATCAAACCCTTATTAAAAAACAGCATCTAGACAATTTTTCAAGGGGGTACCTCATGATTGGCACAGTTGCTGAATAACATAAATGTTTGGATGGTACTCCATTGCGAGCACCAACCTTTGGGAGTGAACAAAAAACAAAACCATTGAAAGCAATTAAAAGTAAATCGAAATTAAATTGAAATCAATTGAAAGTAAATTGAAATCATTTGAAAGTAAATTGAAATTAATTGAAAGCAAATTGAAATCAATGAAAAGTAAATTGAAATCAAATGAAAGCACATTGAAATCAATTGAAAGTAAATTGAAATCAATTGAAATCAATCGAGAATAAATTGAAACCAATTAAAAATAAATTGAAATCAATTGAAAGTAAATTGAAAGTGAATTGAAAGCAAATTGAAATCAATGAAAAGTAAATTGAAATCAAATGAAAGTACATTGAAATCAATTGAAAGTAAATTGAAATCAATTGAAAGTAAATTGAAATCAATTGAAATCAATCGAGAATAAATTGAAACCAATTAAAAATAAATTGAAATCAATCAAATGTAAATTGAAATCATTTAAAAGTAAATTGAAATCACTTGAAAGTAATTTGAAACCAATTGAAAGTAAATTGAAATCAGTTGAAAGTAAATTGAAATCAGTTGAAAGTAAGTTGAAATCAATTGAAAGTAAATTGAAATCAATTGAAAATAAATTAAAAGTATATAAATTGAAATCCTTACTTAAGTTGATTAACCAAAAAATTGTTGGGGTGGGCAAAAAAAAGTGCGAGTTATAGAGTACCCTCAAATTGTTGAGGGGGGGGCCCTCACACTAATCAGCAGCAAACATTATTAATTTTAAACATATACATAATAATAATCAACAATTAATCAGTAGCTCATGAAATGCCAATCACTGGATTCCATTTTTTTGGTGGATCGAAGAGTAACAAACCGGAAGGGCATACGACATGAAAGGCACGACGGAGAAGGATGCCTTTGAACATGCGGAACAACCAATTGGATGAACTTTGCAAAGACATCTTAAAGGCAGCGAAATAGATGGCGCAATCTCGCGGACGATTGCGTTGCTTTTCGTACCTAAATGACCATGAGCAGGTCTTGTCGTTTCACCCTATCTGTTTCCGCGTGTGTAGCGGGTTTGTTTCGCGTGCATGCACTGATGAGCCCTCCCTCGTGTGTACACCTGAGTCAGTTTTTGCATGTACAGCTGCCTTTTTTTTCACATTCTAGACCTTCCAAAGTCCTGCGCAATTAAAAGACGTTACAGTACATGAATTTACAATACTTAAAGTCTAGTAACTTCATGTAAATTCTGCACGATTAAAGGATTTCTGCACTTTCGGGCCGATTGAAAGGTTTCATCTTAAATGTAAATGGTTTCAATGTTTCAACAAAAACAGAACTCTTTGCAAGCAGTTTGACTGCCTTGATATGACTCGGGTGCTTAAAATATCTTGCCACAAAAGGTGGCTGACAATTCAGCCTTTGGAACCGCTCGTGATAATACCCTGCGTCCCCAAATTTGCAGACTTCGTGCTGGTGATTGGAAACACCAAAGGTTCAAGACCTGAAGCACGCTATAAAATCCTATAGATTCGAAGGAACTTTAGAAGTCAAACTTCCGACAATATGGACACATGGAAAAGCAGAGGTGGGAAGAGCTAGAGAGGAGAAGGGAAGAAGAGAGAAGATCAGAGAATAGAAAGAGTCAGAAGAAAGAAGATGCAGGCGCGCGAAAAGGTAGGAAAGTTGTTTTTCCAATGATTTGTGGCTCCAGCAGGTCGAAAAGTAGGCTCGCTAAAGCTGCGGGTGCGGAGCCATCTGGCCAGACAAGAGATGAAAAATTGCACGCCGTTGTGGCGCGAAGCACATTTCCAAATCAAAATTTGCAAGGCAGTTCCGCAACGGAGCACTTTTAATAATTGAGATGTCGAAAAGTGCAAGCCGTTGTCGTCACGCGAAGCACATTTCGAAGCTAAAATGTACAAAACACAACATGCTCGGAGCACTTTTGGAAGTTGAGATGTCGAAAGAGTGCACGTCGTTGTGTTGCGAAGCACATTCCGAAGTCAAAATGTACAAAACACACCATGTTCAGACCACTTTTGGAAGTTGAGATGTCGAAAAAGTGCACGCCGTTGTGTCGCGAAGCACATTTCCAAGTCAAATGCACAAAACAATCCGGGTTGAAATATCCGGGGGGACCTTGTGCCCTCTCATTTTATTGGTACAGACCTCGGGCCTTTTCCTGGTTTGCTACGATATGAAAATCCACCCTCAAAAAAAACTACGAAATGAAAAACCAGTATCCAGCATAGGCTTGCTACAAAATGTTGTTATGCCCAATGTTTTTTTAACTTCAAAACCCAACATGTTATCTCTTGCTTTGTTGAAGGTCATGTTTGTAGCTATTATATAAGTCCTTCTACCCATCCAGTGGAGGGATTTCATTTTGTAGTTACGTGAAGGCCGCTCGTGCATTTTCCCTCCACTGTCAATTTGTATCTATGACTACTACAAAATGAAAACCAATGGTCTGGGTGCATCAACATAGACTTGCCACAAAATGAAAATGACATGCCCAAGGGCACATTTCAACCAAGAAAAAGGATGACATGCGTTTTTTAAATCATTTTGTAGCTGTTCAATTTCTCCATCCATGGCCTCCCATCCATGTTAACGTTGCACACATGGGTCATGCTTCAATGGATTTTGGTTGTTGTCTAGCTCTTCCCCTTTAGATTTCATGGCAGTCTGAGTGGAAAGCCCGGAAACGGTTTTTCACACTTAGAGATATTGACAAGTGAAAGCCCCTTTCTATCACAAAATGATATACCACTCTATAAAGATCAAAAGGTGCACACAAAAACAGGTAAACAAACGCACTCTAAGCATCCAAACATTTGTTTATTCCACAAGTATGTTTTTTGAACTCATATCAGCCGAGTACAAATAAATGCAACCTTGGGATGCCCATGAGTTTCCAAAAAACAATCTGCCAACATATTTTTACCATGATTGTCACAGCAACTGCGCAGCTTCAGGTTCAATTGACTGATTTAGAAACCAAATCTGCCTCACATTGTTCCTCTTTAAAGTCTCTCCATCAAAGCGTCTTTTCAAACCTCTATTGGGGCTGGTCTGGAGGGGGCCCAGTAGGCTCTACAAAATGCTTGTACGCGCCTGTGTTGCTACAAAATGCAATGCGCATGCAGGATACAGGTTATCCGGAAAATAGCTGCTTCAAGGGGGGTTCCAGGAACCACCCCCTGCAAAATGCCAATCACACATCTGTGCTTTGTGGTTGAAAGGAACTCTGAGCAGGGATTCTGTGAACTTGGGTGGAAGTCGACTATTGGACAGAAAGAGCAGGAACATATTAGAATCTATTTGAACTGGATACACTTGAATCGGAACCAAGAAAAGGTGAAACAAAAGCATGGCTAAGCGAATTTTTACCACGATTGCTAGAGCTATGGGGCAACAAAACAGATCTGAAGTTTACAATTTAAACTTAAATTGGCATTGATTGGCCTTGAAACCACACATGTTTTTAATTTCATTGCCAATAAATAAAAACAACTCCAAAATTGTTTTTCATGTCAAAGAGCCAGGTGCTACTTGCCCAAGCATCACCCTGCTACAATATCACATGCCTAGCACATGGTCTTATTCTTGATTGCCAACAAAAACAACTACAACATGTTTTCCGGGTCAAACCGCACATTGCTACAACATGTTTTTTGTTATCACATGTTATCCAAAGCAGCAGCTACAAAATGGCTTCACAGCCGAACCATATAAACCCATACGCAGCCTTCAAGAAGTTACTTTGCTACAAAATGGTAGCCCAGGGTACATTTTTGAAACCCGGTTTTACTGATAAAATGGATTACATTGTGGGGCCAAGGCCCATCAATCTGTAGCTGAAGTTTCAACGCGGATGCAAAACACAGCAGCTCCAGACCACTTTTGGGCGTTCAGGTGTCGTTTTGCGTGGCAGGCGCAGGGGATTGTGCACTTTGTCAAAAATGAGCAAAACGTCAGGATTTTGTTTCAGTTTCAACTACAACCACCACTACACTACACTACACTACACTACACGACACTACACTACACTACACTACACCCCACTACACTACAACTACAACTACAATTAGACTACACTACACTCAATTACACTACACTACGCTACATTGACTACAACTGCAACTACAACTACAAATGCACTACATTGCACTACACTAATTACATCTAATTACACTTCACTACGCTACACTCCACTTCGCTTCACTGCGCTACACTCAATCACACAACACAACGCAACACAACACTACAACTACAACTGCAACTACACTACATTACACTACGCTACACTATCACATTACACTACATTACACTACACCACACTAACTACAACTACCAGTACAACTACACTAATCACATTACACTACACTACGCTACACTATGTACAGCTGCCACTACGACTACACTACATTACACTAACTACAACTACCACTACAACTACACCACATTACATTACGCTACACTAATTACATTACACTACACTACACTACAAGACACGACACTAACCACAGCTACAGCTACAACTACACTACATAACACTACACCACACTACACTTTACTACACTACCCTATATAATTACACTACACTACACCACACCACACCACACTACCCTACATTACATTACGCTACGCTCATTACACCACCACAAATACAACTGCAACTACACTACACCAGAACTACAACTCCACTACACTACAACTACAGCTGCACTACACCACACTACATCCAGCAGTTGTGGGTGAGGTGACCGACCAGGTGACCACTGCAACCATTGTAACCACTCCAAAAAACACAACTTCAACCACCTTTCAGTCCATCAGTGGGTTCGCTCTGCCATCCGTGATTCACAACAACCAAGCTCTCCTATAGGTCTCCTATTCTGAAACTTCCGCCACCGCCTTGCGCGGTACTACTGGTAATTTAAAATCGTTTGTTTGAAGCATGCCTGGTTTGCAGAAATAAGAGCTTTCATTCCCACAAGCTGCGATTTGATGCGATTTGTCGATTTGTCACATTCATGAACCGCAGGAGGCAATAAATCCTGATTTTTGCAGAACGTTTCCGCCGCACTTTTTGTGGGAAAACTGTTGGCATTTTTGTTGGCGTTCAGAGCAGTTTTGGAATTTCTTGGGCACATTTCTTGCCCAAAACACGGGCCTTCTGAATTTGTGCAAATTCAGCAACAATATGCAAAGCCTTCTTTGAGCGCCTTAGTTTTTTGTTATATTCGGCACCAACAGGTAGAATTTGTATATTTTGTTACCTTTGGTTAAGCTGGCCCACTTTGTTTTTCAACATGCGGAAACTCCTATCTAGCGTGCTTCATTCTTGCAATTTAATGCTGTTCAAGTGTGTTTCTGAACGATTGGTCCAATTTGAGCTATTTGCGGCATGTACGGCTTTTTGAGGGCATTTGTGGCCAAAAGCCACAGAGTACAGAATTTATTAAACTTTGGAAGGGATAGGATGATTCTTCATTTTCAATATTTAGAAGCAGGCCAATGGGCCCAAAACGGACAATCTATACTACCATTATATTAACATTATTATATATATATACAATTATATATATGCACATCGAAACTACCATTTGAACATATTTGAACCATTTTGAACCCTTCCAGCGGGGGGCTACATGACGTTGATCTTCCAAAAGTCCTGTAGCCCTGCTATGAGGTGTTCCAACTTGTTTGGATGCGTCGCTTAGGCTCTGGCTATCGTCCAGTTCGGCAGATATCAGCCGTCTTGAGATCTCCTGCCCAAAAGCAGAGAGAGTGCCATACATGGCCGCTGGAAGCACCTCATCGGTTCTCCATTGCAGCATTGCACGGTGACAGGTGGTGACAGGGGATGTCATGATTACTGCGCAATTACAATTTCAGTATGTTTCACAAGTTTGAACGGTTTTGATATTTAAATATATTTGACGCATTTTGATGACCTCAGGATACCTCAGGTGCCAAAGGAAGGAAAATCGTGGCCCAAGTGCGGCAAAGGGCTGGCTGGCAAGGGTCCAGAATCTCCCCAGAACCACACCTCGCGTTGCCATCTTTGCACGAGCCAAACCAAAAGCAACAGACTTGCAGCGCACTTGTGGACAAGTGTGTGGGGTCAAGTGCCTTTAGCTCAAGACTCCTTTGTTTTTTCCTGAATAATCCGCTATGCGAATCAATCCATTGAACCTCTCGTTGCAGGGCCGCCAAACCCCCTTGTGCGCAGCTGAAGATACACCACTGACAGCACAACGGCATAATTGATATCTCTACATAGGTCATTCTAGCTTTGACCATGCTAGTCTAGCGTTGAACATTGTGCAAAATGTTATATAAAAGTATTGCTAGCATGTGCGGGAGCAAACCGAAACGATAAGCCCAATAGAAGCAAAGGCGAGTCTTCAATCTTCAATGAGACATTCTACAACCAAGATGCGTCAAACTGCCCCAAGTAAGGCTTACAAACTCAGCATTTGGCAGGTATCCTTGCAATGCGCGCGCCGAAATACATCCAGATCGAAACACGATGAATCATGCAATGCAATTCATCGCAGGATTGGGAAGGGTGCTGTGCCACTCTGGAGAGCGCAAGTGGACAAGCAGCTTGAAGATCTTAAAGCAGTGTAGAGATCTTTGCAAACCAACTGATCAACTGCATGTTGAAATGCTTCCAAGAGTCTCGTGGAACTTGATCCACTGGGGGTGCCGCCATGCCAAAGCCTCAAGTCTCGGACGATGGCACTCCCTGCTGGAAGAGGGCACAGAACGGAATGCTTCATCACCTGCACAAACTCATGACACTGCACCGATATGATGAAATGATTGCAACTTTTTGATATCAAATGCTTCTGACGCACATTGGCAAAACTCATGGAAGTCATAGCAGCTCCACCTAAGACCAATGAGTTGAAGTCCGTCTGAGCCAGACTGACTGACTGACTTGATTTTAGTATATTTTAGTCGTTGCATGTCGTTGCCTTGGACTCCGACATCAAATCTGGTGGGTCAGATGTGTCTCGGTGTGAAAATGGGACGACTCGAAGTGGCGCGTCTGCACAGGTCAAGTCCTCCAAAACGAAGTTCACACCTGAGCACAGCGAAGCACAGCGAAGCACAGCCCCTATAGAATGGCGCCCAAATGCACAATTCTTTGGGAAACATTTTGGAAACCCTTCTCTATATTTCTCTATCCTGTCTAACTTTATCGACAGAATCGTCGCGTGTTCAGACCGTAGTATATATATAATATATAACCTATTATCTTCTTGCAACACTTGCTGACCCAATGCCTTCACAACAAGTCTGGACAAGTCTTGCAAATTGCAGTGTGCTATCGTTTTGCTGCTTTGATGTGGAGTCTGAGTCGCCAATGGCAGGAGCTTTCACCAGGCTATGAACTGGTCCGCCCACGTCCAGGTGCAGGGATTGATACCTCGGAGGAAGATGGAGGAAGTGGAATTAAACATTTGGGGAACCAAAGCAGCAGTGGTAAATTAATGTAAATAATTTAAATAATTTATTCGAAATTCTATAATAATATATCCTAATTATTTCTAATTTAATTACCTGTATCTCTCTTATCAATTTGTGCCTTCAATCCCAACGTCGTCTGTTCCGATCTTCTTGCTGAAGCCATTCTGGCATTTGTAGCTTTGAAACAGGAAGATCATGGAAAACCCACACAGCCATAAACAACTATGAAAAAACATAAAACAAATATATAAAGAAACAAAATAGAAAAAGAAGACCCATCAAAAAACGTATACAGACCCACACCGTAAATATACATAAATCAAATGCTTTGAGCTGCGTGCTGGTGTTGGGGAGCACAAAGTCACCACCTCCACCACAGGCCAAAAAGCCGTCCTCGTAGTACGTTGAAAGCAGCAAATGCACAGCCTCGTTGTCCAGGAGCCGTTCCCAGCCACGCTTATGCCTGTGCAAATCATATCAAAGCGCCGCTACGTCTACGTGTTGTCAAAGGCAACCTAACAACCGTATCAGTTTGGTTGAATGCAGTTAAACAGTTGTGGCCAGCAGAACCACCGCCATCCAGCAAAGAGCAACAGCTGAATCAGCACTGCCCAGGTGGACTCTCGTCGCAAAATAGCGACGAAAGAACAAATTGAGAGACAGCGAGTTGTGATACAGCTGGTTTATGCTGGTTTGCCCTATGACAACCTCTCTCTGGAGTGCGCTATTTTTTTGCGAGGGACATCATGTGCAAAGTCCTGGAAGCTCCTCCAAAGCTGTATCTGCGAGGGCCACGATTTCCGAGGCGCTCTGGATCCAAAGACAACAACTTCTTGGAAACCTCATTGCAATCATTGCTGCCAAATGCAAAGCATAGAATACTGGGCTGAAGAGGCAAAGAATTTGACAAGATTTGAGCACTTGAGAGCGTTCACTTCCTCAATTATTGGAAAAGGCAAGCTAGCAGGCTGCTCTACGTCCGCATACTGTAGTCTGCGGGGTACAGCCACACATAAGGCAACGACCTCATGAATCTTATCCAACAATTGTGAGCGTTGTTGCTGTTCGAAAGCGTCCAGAAGCACAACCTGACAAAAAAGCACAAAATATTGAATACAACTAAAATCAAATGAATTCTTTGCGGTGATGATGTATGGCGGCAGAGTGGCCAAACAGTCTATTTATGTCTATTTGTTTTCCTATGTTTTCCTTGTGGCATGTTGTGTCTACCGTACTCGGTCTATATATGTCTATATAGTTGTTGTATGCTATTGTATGATGTACAATTGTTGCTAGAAATCTGAGCTGACCAACAGAAACAAATACAGTAAGCATCGATAAACAAATGAAACCACAAATGACATAATGTGATATGATGTGTTCCTTACGAAGAAACGACAGCCACACGTGGAATAAACAAGGCAAACACAAGGATCAAACCGCTTCTGGCGAACAAGCCACAAATCCCAGTTCATCCAATGACTTTGAGGCTTCAAGAAACCAGGCAGGAGTTCCCGCACCATCCAACAACCCAGGTCCTCCCCGGTGAATTGCTGTCTGCCACGGTCTTTCAATCCTTGAGTGGTTTGGCTCAGCAGTGATGGTGAAGATGGACGTTCTGAATGGGGGAAGCTGTGGGGTGAAGACTTTACTTGAAAGATCTACAGCACCCGACAGAATTATGGAAAAAAAAAACGTTTCAATTTACAGGCGCCGCCTGTCTATGATAGAAAAGTTACGAACCTTTTTTTTTCCATAATTATTGTTTCCATATTTTTTTTCCATAATTCTGTCGGTGACTGTATGTCCACCGATTCGCAATTTGAATGCATTTTAAGGGGGAATATTGAATTATAGAAAATATGTGTCTAAAGATCTGGTATATGCCCCTAAGTCTTCCATTGATATATATATATATACATACTTGCATTTGCATACATATTTCCATAACCTCAAAAAAAAACGGGTTTGAATTGTGGATCCATGACATGTCCAACAGTTGGAGCCCCAAACATTAATTATGGAAAAAATAATCATGGAAAAACCGGTCAATCTGCCCTAGCCCCCTGATTTCACAGGAAAAATCAATTATGGAAATAATGGCCACCTCCAAGAATTATGGGAAAAAAAAGTTCGGATCACTTCCGGGATATTTTGAACCCTTATGGGGAAAAATCCAATTATGGAAAAATCGGACGCAGGCGCCGCCTGTCTAAGTTGAACGTTTTTTTTCCCCACCTGCCAGGTGAGGGTTGTTAGATTTTATGTCAGTTGCCTCCTCGTCCTCCTCCTCCTCCTGCTCCTCCTGCTCCTCCTCCTCCTCCTCCGCCTCCTCCTCCTCGTCCTCCTCGTCGTCCTCGTCGTCCTCGTCGTCCTCGTCGTCCTTGCTCAACTGCGACCCGCGATCCACAGTGTTCTCTGCCGGACCTCGACCACGACCATCCACGCCCAGTGTTCCCTGCCGGACCTCAACCACGACCATCCACGCCCAATGTTCCCTGTCGGACCTCAACCACGACCATCCTCGCCCAGTGTTCCCTGCCGGACCTCAACCACGACCATCCACGCCCAGTGTTCCCTGCCGGACCTCAACCGCGAGTATCCCCGCCCAGTGTTCCCTGCCGGACCTCATGTAGGAAGATATGGGACAAAGAATGTGCAGAAGAAAGTTAGAAAGAATGTCAGAAAGAATGTCAGAAGATATGCCAGAAGAATATGCCAGATAGAATGCCAGAAATATGCCAGATATGCCAGATAGAATGCCAGAAGATTTGCCAGATAGAATGCCAGAAAATATGCCCAGAAGATATGCCAGATAGATATTCAGAAGATATGCCAGAAGAATGCCAGAAGATATGTCAGAATATATGCCAGAAGATATGCCAGATAGAATGCCAGATAGAATGCCAGAAGATATGTCAGAATATATGCCAGAAGATATGCCAGATAGAATGCCAGAAGATATGTCAGATAGAATGCCAGAAGATATGCCAGATAGAATGCCAGAAGATTTGCCGGATAGAATGCCAGAAGATATGCCAGAAGATATGCCAGATCATATGCCAGAAGATATGCCAGATAGAATGCCAAATAGAATGTCAGAAGATATGTCAGATAGAATGCCAGAAGATTTGCCAGTAAGAAAATGTATAAATGTCATGGTGGGGATCACACGAAGTAAAGTAATTTCCATAATTCTGTCGGTTACCATATATAGGTAGAAATACAACTACAGTACAAAAAGCAACGAACAATCTACAAATCGAATTGGGTCAGCAGCTCTTGGATATTCTGTGATACTGACTGTGATAGTCTTCACTTTCCTGGTCCAGGGCTCTGAATACCAGATCGGAGCTGCGCTTCGCTTGTCGTCATTCCCTCCCCGAAGTAGTGACAGAGACGCTCACCACTTACCACGAAAGGATGCGCTTTCACGAGCTGCTGCAATGCACGAGCTGACTTCAGAAAGCACCGCCCTGGAATAGCAAAACAAAAGATGGTTGATCAAGTTCACAATTTTAATATAATTTGCACATGAAGCAATTTGCACATGAAGCAATTTGCACATGGCACTAAACGATCTGAAAGGATTTGCACATGCATTTTGTTACTGCACTATTACAACAAGTGTCGCAAGCACCTTCCATGCCCCAAGCAACGAAGTGGTGCCAGTTCTAAACATAATTCATCATAATTCCAATCACATTATGTAACTATGTTAGGCATTTTAATCTCTCAAACCTACTTAGTTGCTTCCAACGGTTCCCAACGCATGTTGTAGAACACAGAGCCTGGGCATGTTTCAACAAATTGCCTGCTGTACTGGCAGGGGAGGCAAGACATGCTGAAACCATGCGAGCCTGTGAAAGTTTTGCAAACCCTGCCTCTCATGGTAAGATCCACCTCTGCTGCGTCCACAATAAATGTCCAGTATGCACAAGACTCATGCGATTGACACATGTGCCTGCACTGAACTCCTGAGTGGACAACTGTAGAAGCTATGTCTTCACCTGGGGAATCCTCTCCCCAACGATAGCAATCCTCTGCGCCATCTTTGGCGCAGCAATAGGAGAACGTCCATAAACCATGTTGCCAGCATCGACCACCTTTCTGATCGCAGCATGAAGGTGGTGGGCATCGAGGGTCTGACACAGCCCACGCACGGAATACAAAAATACCAAGACATCCTTAGGTCTCAAGGGGCCTCAGGCGCCTTTGTTGAACGAGATTGAGATGAATGTTTGATGCTCTTGGAATCCCTGGCGTCACTCTTTGCAGGTCGGGTGAACATATATGATCAAAAAACACGTCTGCCAGTCGCAAAATCTTCAACTGGTCTTGTATGAATAAACATGACCACGTCGGAGGCTTCGGAAGCTGCCATCATGGTATTGATATGTATTGACATGGTATTGATGTTTTGTGACATTTGGCATTTGTCAACCCTCCTCTCATTGCCAAGACACCCAGAAAGCTGAGCATAAAAGGCTCAACCAGAATCAACTACAGTAACAGGATGTGCTTTGTTCGCCGCTGTTGTCTCCAATTCCATGAGCAATGAGTGAGCAAATGCCAGCGCCCAGCAATGCACAGAACCCGCAGTTTCAGCCCATTGCTTACCAGCTGCCGAACTAACTACACTGGAGCCTCATAAACAAAGTGCGGCGACATGCAGCAATCGAGCTTCAGTTGACGCAACGTTACGTTAGAAGAACGGAAGAACGACAAAAAATGCCAAAGTGGCAAAACAACATAAAGATAAAGTAGTTCCAATGTCGGCCCTGTCGGCTGGGCATTCCTTTGCTCGAAACGACTCGAAACCCGCTCTAAATCCTTGGGTCACCTACTGGTCATCTCAAGTCTCCTGAGTTCAACTGGTGCGCTTTTTGGCTCCCTGAATCCGCCAATCGAAGCAAACTGCTCCCTACAAGTACAAGATTCAGGACCCTTCGACTCTGGGAAACAAACAAACATATAATATAATATAATATAATAATATAAATATATATATAATACACAGCTATGATAAGTTATGATAATATATGACAATATGCCCATGTAATTTGAGCAAAAAGTAAAACTGCATATGCATATACTTACAGATACTTACAGTATCTTGAAGATTCTTGAGGGCTCAATCAAGCATGGACATGAAGTCCGAAGAATCTTGTAGGCCGAAAAACTCGGAAGCAAAGAGCACATAAGAGCACAACATTCTGGCTGGTATTCAGTTCGGATGTCCGAAGTCTGTCTTGCAGCAGGCCGTGCAAACACTGCGCAAATTGCAGACTTGTGTTCAGGTTTGATTAGAACCATTGGGCCTAAGCCCATTTCTTGCTTGACATCGATACAGTGCATAAATAAAAAGGCGAACCTACCGTGGCTTGCAGTGTATGCGGTAACCGGTAAAATGTGCAGTGCCTGTTGTTTATGCCTTCAGCATCCTTCAACATCAACATCCTGAAACACAATGGAGCACATACATTGCAGTCTGCGGTGCTGCAGCCGGCCAATGTTAGCCATGCCGCACGTAGTCAAGATATATTTTTGGCCGTGCAACCATCTCAGGTCTCAAATTACCTGTGCCAAAATGTTCGTGCCAAAATTATGATAGCATGCTTCGCAAAGTGCCTTTGAAAGGTGTAGCAAAAGGTTTTCCTCCTTCAATTGCCTTATATTCACATCGGTCTTCACTTTTGCCGGCAAGGAGGGAATGGTTTTTACAACAAAATGCGATAGTGGAGCAACCAATCCCTGCTTTGCTGTATAACATGTTCAAACATAGAAATACATAAAATAAATACAATATTTTCCAGACATGTTGATTCCGAACAAAACGCATCCACAATGGCAACTTACTTATGGGCGGGCCTCACTTTGTCAGCTGTGTTGTGGGCAAATGTCATGGAACGTCATGCTCCCAGCCTTCAAGCACAAAACTCTCGTGTCCTTGCAAGACTTCTGCTCACGGACCTGATTGTCTTGAAGTCCCTTCACATTCCTCACTGTTTCCATGTACCTATCTAGATTCATCCAGTCAGAAACAAAAAACAACCATTGATTCATGATTCAAACAGCATGAAGCAAGTAGGACAATTATGTATCAATCGCCAAACTGCTTGAGGAAAGGTTTGTATATAATCGTTTGCACTCCAGGTTTTTTTGCCAGGCGCCACACCTATCATTGGTTTCGCCCTCCTGGTCATCACATTACGCAGCACCACGTCACAACACGCCATCAATTTCAGCAATTTCCAGCATGTCATCCGTGTGCACTTGACACCTACTGAATACTCTAAGTTGTGGTGAAGCACATGAGTAGCGGCATGGCTGTCATTGTTGTCGCCAAGTATGAACTCTCTACTACATATCAAAACATGTACATTAAGAATATTAATCAACTAATACCAGGAGCTTCAAAGACCCAAACAATTGTAGGCCCAGTGAGAAAAAAAACTTGTTATTTCGAGAAAAACCAGGTTTTGGTAAAGAAGTTGGATTTGCACAAATTTATCCAAATCGGGGGGGCCTGTATCAAATTTCTCCTCATTACATGATGATTACATGTACCTATTTCATACTGACAACTTCTGAAATCTGTCAGACAGAAGGCGCGATCAAAGTTGAAGCAAGCGTTATCACACACGATGCGCGCGTTCTCCACCGGCTGCAGTTACCTCCTATGCTGCGAACTTTCCCTTCAACGGGACTGGAAGTAGTCAAAAAATCGCTATGGATATATGCATGGCATTTCAAAAGGCAGCTTTTCAGATATGAACCCAGTAAATGCTCCGATAATCTGCGTTGTGTTTTTTTGGTCTGGATCGGGCAATTACCGGCTCGATCTTGCAAAACGACAAGTGGAACCTTAAAACTCGACGTCGCAGCCGTCAATTCCCAGAGGCAAAGAAACAATATTTTGAGTACGGGTTAGTATGGGTGAATAATGGGTTTAATACGGTTTAAGTATTGGTTCCCAGAAAAACGGGTTTTTTCTATTATCGAAGGAAGTTTAGAAGTCAAACTTCCGACAATATGGACAGATGAAAAGCAGAGCTGGGGAGAGATGAAAAATTATACGCCGATGTGGCGCGGAGCACATTATAGCACATTTCCAAGTCAAAATGTACAAAGCACACCATGGTCGGACCACTTTTGGAAGTTGAGATGTCGAAAAAGTGCACGCCGTTGTGGCGCGAAGCACATTTCGATAGCGCGAAGCACATTTCGAAGTCAAAATGTCAAAAAAATGTTTAAAAAAACACCAGGGGTTCGGACCACTTTTGGAGGGTCAGATGTTGCTTCGCGTGGCAGGCGCAAGGGATTGTGCACCTTGTCAAAAGTGAGCAAAACGTGAGGGTTTTGTAGCATTTTCAACTACAACCACCACTACTGCCACTACACCACACTACACTCCAATACACTACAACTACAACTACACCTTCACTACATTACACTACACTACGCTCCACTACACTCCACTACACTACTCTACACTCAAGTACACTCAATTACACTCAATTACACTACATTACACTCCATTACACTACACTACATTCCACTACACTACACTACACTACATTCCACTACACTACATACACTACACTACACTACATTACAATACCTTCCACTACACTACATTACACTACATTACGCTACACTACACTACAATACATTACACTACACTACACTCCACTACAGTACATTACACTACACTACATTGCACTACACTACCTGCCACTAAGCTCCACTACACTCCACTACACTAAATTACACTACACTACAGTACATTACACTACACTAGATTCCACAACCACCACTCACCACTACACCACACTACACTCCAATACACTACACGACACTACACTACAACTACAACTACACCTTCACTACCTTCCACTACACTACACTCCACTACACTACACTACCTACACTACACTCAAGTAAACTCAATTACACTCAATTACAATTAGAGTACACTACATTACATTACACTACACTCCACTACACTACATTACACTACACTACACTACCTTCCACTATACTACATTACACTACACTACACTCCACTACACTACATTACACTACACTACACTACCTTCCACTACACTACATTACACTACACTACGCTCCACTCCACTACACTACAACTACAACTACACAACTACATTCCACTATGCTAAACTACATTACACTATACTACACTACAGTACATTACACTACACTACATTCCACTACACTCCACTACACTACATTACACTACAATCCACCACACTACACTACACTACATTCCACTACACTACACTACACTAACTACAACTACAACTTCAACTACAATACTACATTTACACTACGCTACACTACGCTACACTAATTGCACTACATTACACTAGACTCCACTACACTACACTACACTGAATGACACTGCACCACAGGTAGGCAGGTAGACAGACAAACAGACAGACAGACAGACAGATAGATACACAGCTAGACAGGTAGACAGATAGACAGATAGACAGATAGATAGATACACAGATAGACAGATAGACAGGTAGACACCTAGACAGATAGATAGATAGACAGATAGACAGACAGACAGCTAGACAGATAGACAGATAGACAGACGAGAGAGAGAGATAGACAGACAGACAGACAGACAGACAGACAGACAGACAGACAGACAGACAAACAGAGATAGAGATAGAGACAGAGATAGAGATAGAGATAGGGATAGAGATAGAAAGATAGAAAGATAGATAGATAGCTAGATAGATAGATAGAAAGATAGCTAGATAGATAGATGGATAGGTAGGTAGCTAGGTAGATAGATAGGTAGGTAGATAGATGGATAGGTAGGTAGCTAGGTAGATAGATAGGTAGGTAGGTAGGTAGCTAGATAGATAGATAGCTAGATAGATAGATAGATAGAAAGATAGCTAGATAGATAGATGGATAGGTAGGTAGCTAGGTAGATAGATAGGTAGGTAGGTAGGTAGCTAGATAGATAGATAGATAGATAGATAGATAGAAGGTAATTAGATGAAAGAGAGAGAGAGAGAGATAGATAGATAGATAGATAGATAGATAGATCGATCGATCGATCGATAGACGATAGATAGATAGATAGATAGATAGATAGATAGATAGTAGGTAATTAGATGAAAGAGAGAGAGAGAGATAGATAGATAGATAGATAGATAGATAGATAGATAGATAGATAGATCGACAGATAGATCGATAGATAGATAGATACATAGAAGATAGGTAGGTAGGTAGGTAGATAGTCAGAGAAAGAGAGTGAAAGAGAGGAGACCTCAAGCACCTTTCGGTCCATCAGTGGATTCGCTCTGCCATCTGTGATTCACAACAACCAATCTCTCCTATAGGTTTCCTATTTTTGAAACTTTCGCCACCGCCTTGTGCGGTACTACTGGTAACAAAATATGGGTTTAGTACGCGATAAAGATATGGGTTTAGTACGGCTTAATGCGGCCCAAATGTTTGTTTTTCCATTTTTTGGGTGCGGACTTTAAAATTGTCATCCGAAATGATTAAAAACTGAAAGTTTCGATTGATTTTGATGATTTTGTTCATTTTTTCGATACTTTGGTTCGACTGCTCATTGGACTTTGGCA